GTAGAAGGTAACCGTATACCCTCATCTCTTTTATTTAGACAATTTGGCCTTTTTTTAATTTCTATGGCTTCCCGGATAATTCTTCGTTTATAGAAGCGAATAGGTGCAAAATCAATTTTGTGAAATTTATGAAGATGGTGTTGGCCTAAAGCTGAAATTGAATCGGAATTCCGAACAGAAATTAAATGTTCATAAATCCTATTTTGGATTCTACGGTTTGTTTGGCCTATATAAGATCGGGAGCAGTCTGCACAAGGAATTTCAAAAACTCCGTGTTGTTAATTTGGAATATTGCCTTTGATTAATCGGACAAGAGATAAAAGTTTTTGTTAGGGAGTAAATATTGTTCTTATTCCACTTTTATATAAGAGTTTTGTCGATTTTGTCTGAGACACCTTTGAGGGTCTGAGTCTGTGGATTGAGATTGAGTAGGAGAATGATGTCTGTGGATGCTGCTATTATTGTGATTTATGCGGTAACAATTCTGGATGAGGGCTTGTTCTAAACACGAGAGGTCAGCGGGTGCTCAGTGGAGATAATTATAACAGGAAACCTCAACGGCAGAACCGGAAGGAAAGAAAACGATAAAGTAGTGGGGAGATTTGGAGAGGATGAACAAAACGATAACCGAGAATGTCTGATTGAATTATGCGAATTAAACAACCTAAAAATCACCAACCGATTCTTCAGACATCAAAATATTCAGAAATATACATGGACGCAACAAACACGAAAGCTCAAATCGATAAAAGATTATATAATAATCAAACAAGATACCACAATAAAGATCAAAGATGTGCGAGTACAGAAGAACCGTTGAAGAGTATAAGAAAAAAACAATACAATTTAGAACTACTCCAAGAGCAATCAATAAGAGTAGTATACCAACAACGTCTAGACCAAAAATTAATAGAATTTAGATACGGCAACATCGAAGAAATATTCGAGTATATAAAGGCGAGTATAAAACAAGCAGCATTCGAAGTCCTTGGAGAAAAAATATATATAGCAAATGAACAGCACTATTATGAAATAAATGAACCAATAAAAAGAATAATTAAAGAAAAAAAGCAACTATGCAGAAAATGGCTGACTACAAACAACGATGAAGTTTATAAAGAATATAGAGAAAAATATAGAGAAGTAAAAAAACAAATAACACAACAAAAGAATGAAGAATGGGAAAGAACCTACTTAAATATTAAAACATACATAGGAGGTACAAGAACTTCGGAGTCAGGGAAAGTTCTGAGAGGATTGAAAAAAAAATTTAAAAAAAATTAATTGGGAAATATACAGGACAAAGAATGGAAGAACTATTTATTACAAGGAACTGTTAACAGAACAAAGACCACAATTCATTGGAAAAGAAAACAATCGAAGGCGAAGCAGATCCCCACAACAAGAAATATAAATAACACATAGGGAAACGAGAACGGCCATAAAAGCAATCAAAAATAAGAAAGCATCGGGACTTGGAGGCATCTCACCTGAGCTTATAAAATAACGGCTCAAAAAAATTACACCGGATGATACAATGGATATTTCAGAAAGCCATAAATGGAGAATAGCTCCCAAAGGAATGGACGGAGGCATATATGACATCTATATTTAAGAAAATAGATAAAAAACGATGCGAAAACTACAGAGGAATAAGCGTAAAATCATCAATAGGAAGATTATATGGGAAGATACTGCGAGAAAAGATAGAGCAAGCGATAAAAGGCAAAATCGGGAAAGATCAGGCAGGTTTCACGGCAGAAAGATCATGCATAGACAACATATACACACTGGAACAAATGTTGGAAAAAAAGCAAAAAATAGAAATATACATTTGGAATTTGTGGACCTGATAAAGGCGTATGACTCTGTACCAAGGTCAGAACTATGGGATTCAATGTACAAGTTAGAAATACAGACGGAACTCATAGAAGCTACAAAAGCTCTGTATAAAGAAAAAAAAGTGTCCATTAAAGTGGGAACAAAAATTGTAGGAGACTTCACCACAACATAAGCGCTGCTTCAGGGTTATTCCACATCTCCAACCCTATTCAAAATATACTTAGAGAAAACCTTGACTACATGGAAAAGAAAATGCGAAGGCATGGGAGTACCAGTACGGAACGAATACATATATACGTTAAGCTTTGAAGACGATCAAGTAGTGATTTCACAAGACCAAGACGATCTCAGCTACATGATGAAGAAACTACAAGAAGAATATACCAAGGCTGGCCTAGATTAACCTCGCGAAAACAAAGTACCTATCTACAAGTGAAGAAGACATAGAAGATCTACAGAATAATGACAACGTACCAAGCAAAGGAAAGGATAAATTCAAATACTTGGTATTTATTATCACGAAAACATAGCAACAGAGAAAGAAATGACGCAAAGATTAGGACAAACAAAAACAGCAATCCGACAACATAACTTTGTATGGTGGGATAGACACCTAAATATGAAGACAAAAACACAGATTTATAAAACATTAGTGCGAAGTAATATGTCATATGCGGCTGAAAATTGGATTATAAACAAGAAAAATAGCAGTGAGATAGTAGCAACAGAGATGGAATGCCTGCGAAGATGCTGCAGAGTAACAAGAATGGATACAAGAAGTAATGACGAAATAAAGCAAAGAACATCAACAGAAACAAACATACTAACATATATAGAACAAAAAAACTTGTATTACCGCAAAGGCATATTGGTCTGGAGACAAGAGTAATAATTACTGAATTAATTTGTCAAGGTGGATGATAAGAATTGGCATGCAAGTAACGATTGGTATGTGTGGGTTTTCAATAAACAGAGTAATGAAAATCTTGGGATTGGTTTTTTTATGATAACGTCGAGAAACAGCAGGGATAAATCAGTTTCCGTCTCCATCGTGAACTGGATACTAGGATGTATACCATTCAGATGGGTTTGAAAAGACACCAAAGCATCCCTGCCATGAGACCAAATGACGAATATATGGTCAACATATCGTAGCCAACCCGTGGGTTTGAGCATTGATGTGGATAATGCTCGAGTCTTGAGGTCTTCTATAAAGATATTGGCAATTACTGGAGATAGTAGGGAGCCCATTGGGACACCATTTATTTGTCTGTGGAATTAATTTTGGAAGATGAAATATGTGTTAGACATACAATGTTTAATGAGAGATACGTGTTACTGAATACTGTATTTAGTTTTCATAATGTTTAGAATTTCGTCTATAGGAATGTTTGTAAAGAGTGAAATGATATCGAAACTTATTAGAATGTCTGACGGTGAAATAGGGTATTGTTTAAGAATTTAGATGAAATGAAAAGAGTTTTTGATGAAGGATGAAGAATTTTCGGCGAAAAATTGTAAGGTTTTGGCCAAATACTTAGCCAATGGTTGTGTAGGGCAGTTGTATGTACTGACAATGGGACGTAAAGGAATATCGGGATTATTAATTTTGGGTAAGCCATATATTCGACGTGTTCTGAAAGACTTTTCCCCCACCCTCTATTGTGGTGAAGATATAATATATGTAAGTGCTCTTTATATGACATATATTTCTGCATTAAGAATACTGTAGTGTATTAGCAACTTATAATTTTGGCACATATTAGAAGATATACCTGCTGCTCCCACACCAGCTGTTGATTTTAGAGCATCTGTAAATAATTGTGAAAAATATAAAATAAAAAATATAATATAAAAATAAAATATGTTTGTTCAATGAAGTTAAGGTAGATATTATTTTAGGTAAGTATTCCCAATGTCCATGGTGAAGCAGGTTCAAAACTAACGGTTGTTATAATTTGCATTTGATTTAATTGCGTAGGTTAACATTAAGTACATTCTTCTGTAAATGAAAGATGGTTCAGCTGCTTCGCAATACAAGCTTTATATTGGTGTGATTCTGAAAACTCTCTAGACAATGCGGAGTGCAGTATTGTGGATTGTATGTAAAATTTTAATTCAATAGTAATAATGCAAGGAAGAAATAGAGTAGAACTACCCTGTATTCTTCTGTAGAGGAGAAGTACCCTGTATTCTTCTCCTGAAAGGAGTCGCGGAAGAAGACGCATCTCCTGGTTAAACAATTTGAAAGCTTGGTTGAACTGCACTTCTGCTGACCTTTTTAGAGCAGCGGTATCAAAAGTGCGAATTGCCATGATGGTTGCCAACCTTCTTAGAGGAGATGTCACATAAAGAAGAAGATGAAAAATTTTAAGTGAAGACTTATTAGCCGATGAATATGCTATAGCACCATAGCCTAATTTAGATCTATTTAGTTTTCTGTAGAGAGAGAGCATAGTTTGTCTATCTGCTCTCCAGTATTTTTTAGACAAGATTTAAGAATATTAAGTCTTACTTGGTATTTGACTGCCATTTTTTTAATATGTTCGTTCCAATTTAGATGTTGGTGGAATATCATTCTCAAAAATCTTACATTCTTTTTCAGAACTAGAGGATTGTTACACAGTGTGAGTGGAGGGTGATTAGGGTAGCTTCTTATTAAAAATAATATAAATTGTGTTTTTTCTGTAGAAAATTTAAATACACAACTTTGCGACTATTTTTCTAGTTGAGGTTAAAAAAATATTTAGTGATATCTACTGTATATTTTGGTTTGAAATCATCCTTAAAAGATTCATACATCATGTTTTAATTAGCGTTACCTAAGTCCTTTAATGAAATACATTTATAGAGTGGGCCAAAAGTCCGGAAATACCTAATTATCTCTTTTAGGTTAGGTAAGAAGAAACCGGAACTGCATAGGGATAAAAAAAAGAATGATGATGATTTTATAAATAAAACAAAAGATTGGATCTACCATTAATAAATCAATTTTCCTTGATGTACTCCTATGACCACTTAAATTATGTCACGCTACTGATAACTTAAGTTTTAACCGACTTTAGGAGATGTAGAATCATTGTTACAACAATATTAAAAAAAATAGTATTCACAATTATAACGCATGTTTGCTAGATACTAACTTTTTCATGTTTTAGATTTCAGTATATCAGTCTCCTAGTCAGATATCTCCACCTGTAATATTAAAGGAAGATTTTGAAAAAATGAAAAAAGAGATAATGGATAAAATCTACATAGTTACTAACTCTATAGAAAAAATTGAAAATGAAATTGATAAAATTAATAAAGGCAATCAACAAACTAAAAACTTAGAAAATTTAAATATATATTTTAATAAAAGTCAAGAGCTGTTCACTAAGTTTGATAAAAATCTAGATAACTGTAATAGTAAAATTAGCAATAAAAAGGACGAAGAGTGGAAGCTTAATGTCATAACAGGTAAATTTTGGCGTGATATGTTTCAATATTTTATATTTTCTTTTTTCTTTTTTTTTATTTTATTGATAACAGCATCAACCACTTTGATTTATTAGCTGTACTATAGTTTTATATACTAGATTTTTACATACTTAAATCCAAAACAGTATTTTTGATTAATTGCTAGGTTTACAATAAGGTTAGAATGTCATATTTTACAATTAGTGTAATTAGGGTTTACAAAGGATTAATAGTTAAAATGTGTTTAAAACATTAATATTTTTAAGGTAGTTAAAGATATTGGCAGATTTACAATGTGCTACTAAAACTGCTTTTATATTGTTAGGTAGTGAGTATTGTTGTCTTTCACTGATATATTTACGGCTCTCTATGTTCGACATTAATGTCGCAGTTACATAAGTCACAAATAGGGCGTTTTAATTTGAAGATTACATGGCTGTGAGTTAGTCTGTTATGACCTATACGTAAACGGGTTAGCTTAACCCTTTATAGGGCAAATTATTGATATGGTGAATTCACAGTCTATTTTGGGTAAATAGTATTTATTAGAGTCCCATATAACTTGTAACATAACATAAAGTTAAAAATAATAATGAGGCTCTATTTTAAAGGGTGATAAATTATTATACCAATGTGCTTTAAGCAAAAAGTAATATAGGCTTAAACTTGGTAAAATAATTTACCACTTTTTTAAATATATGAAAATATAAAATATGTTTAATTTGCTATATCTTAAAAATATTACATATTTGTATGAAATGGCTCAAAACACTTTTTACAAAGAGCAACTTTACAAGCCTGACAACACAAATTATTTCTTTTCTGTTTTTCTTTAGTATTGCAGAATGCACACCTACGATAAGTAGAAATTATAGGTAAGTGGGCACCTAAATTTGACAAACGAATTGAGTTCTTTACTGTGCCTCGTCCATGTTACCGTTTACTGGCCTTCCCCATTTTTTGTACTAGAAAATGTGCCAATAACTGACCTACTAAGCGGCTTCTAAACTGTAAATGGCTAAGAGGTTTAGAAGTATGGTTTTCGCTCTTGTATTTATTTTTATACATTATATACGAATTTACGATTGCTGCATCCAAAAAATAGTAAAACAACTTGATCCACTATGTTATATGTCGAATGAATCTGGTCAAATAAATCAGCACCTCCCATATGGCGATTATAACCGTGACACATCTTGGACATATCACATCTTCCTTGTCTCCTATTCTATTTCGTCTTTGAACTCTTGTCATATTTGATGGATCGTACATATTACTGGCAAGTACAACAGGTTTCACACTTCTGTCCTTTCCTTTCCGTGATATCTGCAGCAGAAGTGAAGTCAAATTGACCTAACGATAAATTTTTATTTGCAATCAATTTGTCGTGAGGAAATTATTTTCTATTCGATCTAAATGTTTCACATACAAAAAGTTTGTCGTCTACTAACCTCTTTAGAAGTAGAAAGGAGGAGAAGGAATTATCAAAATACAAGCAATATCCCTGTCCTTTTTAGACGTTTTGATAAATCTAGAACAACTCTTTTACCTAAAGCTAACTGCTTCGGATTTTCGGATTTGAATTGATATACTTGAAAGTCTACCATATAGCTAGTATCGCTGCAAGCAATTGCCCAAACTTTGAAGCCCCGCTTGATGGGCTTTAACGGCATATGTATATTGTGTTATCATAGAGCGGCCTTTGAATGCCACCATGCTCTCATCAATAGAAAGATACCTGGAGGATTTAAAATTGTGCTTAAATTTAGTAGAAAGGTGCGTAACTATGGGTTGAATTTTATATAATTTATTATATTCACTCTCTCCTTTTTTTGGCATTTGAGTATTGTCCGCTACATAAATAAATCTTAATATCTTCAGAAAACGTTTCATTGTCATCACAGATGATGTTTGTTCGTTGTGAAAATTTGCATTATTCGACCAATACAACCTTATACTTGGCAACTTGTTGAGCCCAAAGAAAATTAGTAAACAAAAGAATGCTTTTAGCTCATCCATTGATAAATTTAGTTCAGTACCTCTCTGTGATGCATATAAGTTGCTTTGATCGACAATTACATGCATAATCTTATTGTTCATGAAATATTCAAAAATAGAAAGAATATTATCTGTTTCAATACTACTCTGTACACCAAAGGGCTGGTAAAATACAAAATGTTTATATGCAAGATAAAGTGTAGAATTTTCCGTGCAGTTTAATAATTCAGGCTGTATTCGAGCATTTTTCTTTGGTCTTAGTTTTGCATCCAATTTTGGCTGTTCATCATCACTACTAGAGAAATTGTCTGCTAGTAGGCGTTTTCGAGTATATTTTTGATCTTTATGATTGTAGTCAGGATTTTCCAAACTGCCATCTGAACAATATGGATCAACATTTTCTTCCAAAATCATACTAAATGTTGATGCTTGGGTATCAGTATTAGGCGTATACTGATTTTTACTCAAGCCTGATAATTTACTGGATGGGGTTGATCTTGAAGACGAATAACCAAACAACTCATCTTCAGCCTCAGAGTCTCCGCCAATATCAGAATCCTCAGCTTGTTCATCTGTTATATCATCTATTAACTGATAAGTTTCATCGCTTTTAATTTTGGTTAAATTATAGGTTTTTATTTCTGAAACAAGAAAGAACATAAACTATTACATTTCATGTCTAATCCACCAGGTAAAAAATTCAAAATATCTTCTTTGCCGAAAATAAATACGACTAGATATGTATATAATCAGAGAGTATAATGTCTGAAAAACACTTTCTATCAATATCAAGATTATCTATTGCTTTATAGACTTTATAGACCTATAGTATTTTGTTTGATGAGAAAGGTACATCTAGTAATTAATAGCAAATATGTGTCAAGAATTGTTACAAAAATCAAATTACTTACCTAGTTTTCCTAAATTTTTAGCAGAAACACTTCAAAATATAAACAAAACAAAAAACACGTGAATTACTATCACCACTGTGAATCCTAGTATAATTATTTACCACTTTTAAACGTTTACAACAATAGTAGGCGATAAATGGCAATGCAGGTATCAGTAGTTGACCTTCTATTTACAGTAGAGGCACATAGCGCGTAGAAAATGTGTGTATATTGAACCTAAATGCAAGGTGGTAAATAATTATACCAAGGACCGTTAAAGGGTTAACAAACAGCTGGTGATTTAAATTTATCTCACACCAAAATTCGGTTGAGGACTTTACGATGTGTAGAGTTTATTCTAAAAGATTCCATTCGTTTTTCCATTCATTTGTCACTTTTTCTTTAAGGAACGATTTGTAATCGGAAACAGACACCAAGTTCACTAACACTGAAGAGGCACTGTGTATTGCCTCGCTGGCATGAAAATCTGCTTGTTCGTTTCCTTTTGAAGTCCAATATGTAATGAAACCTACAGATTGAACGAAATAAATTCGGAACATAGGAATATAATGTATTTCGGCTCAATTCTGCTGTAGCTGGTTGGCCAACAAAAGATTGTCAAATAATTATATTATAAAAAATCCCATACTTCAGCGGGCTGCTGGATTCTGAACTCATAAAAATTGAAAGCTACACATAAATCTACGATTTTATTATGCTGTCAAACCAGTTATAGTCCAGGAAATGTAGCATTTCACCTCGCAATTTTTTCGTGCGGCGTGGATTGACTTGAAATTTAACAGAAGGTAGGTAATAGCCTAAGGATCAAAATCTATATCGAACCAAAGTGCGCCAAAGCCTAGGGGGTGGTTGCCACCCCCTAGGGTGGTTGATGGCCACCCCATCTCCGGGGTGAAAATTTTTTTACGTTTTAACTACAGGTTTCGATTAGAAAAGTGATTCTAAACAAAAAATGTGCTATACATTTTTTTTATAAAATGATATTTTTCAAGTTATTCGCGATTGAAAGTAACAACTTTTAGACGAAAAAATCCACGTTTTTAATCGATTTTTCGCGAATAACTCGAAAATGGTGCATTTTATCAAAAAAAATTGTAGAGAACAAATTTGTAGCTTTTAAAAAGACAAATACAATTACAAATACAATATCAATGTTCAGCGGTTTTCTTCAAATGCCAAATTTGAAAGATTCAAAGTCAAATATCGGGAAAATGATGCATTTTTGGAAGAAAATTCACAAAACCTTTTTTAAAGAGCATAAATAGACCTATCATAAAAAAATAAGGTCAATACCTCATTTTTTATGAAAAAATCGAGGAAAACAACACCCTAACCACCCGCATAATTAAAATCGATCTTCACCCTTCTGCAATTCCCTTTGTAGATGTATTGTTAATACGTCCAAGAAGTTTGACCCATTTAAAATGCTTAGTTTTAGAAAAAGTACAGCTTAAAGCGAGAAACGATTTACAATTTCATATTTTTTACCCTTCATTTTTTAAATATGCCCGAAAATACTGAATATATGAAAAAAATAAAAATCACCAAATTGTAGCTTTTTTAATGACTAAAATTATCCTTTATTTAGATTTGTTGTACAATCAATATTTGGCGAGATATAGCCGTTTAAAGCATCGATTTACGATCAAGCACCATCTTTTTCGAGCCCTTTAAACTCACCTCATTTAAAAACCAAGGGTTTCAAAAAGATTTAATTCACAGATCCTTGTAGCTATTAAAAACCTCTACAAATCGTTTTTGAAGAAACATCTATCGTTAAAAATTAAAGGAAATACGTTAAAAAAACCAGTTAATTTTTTTCCGGAAAATTCCATTAGTATAGTACAGTACATTTCGGAGCATAATAATCTACAAAACCGGTATATTAGCTAGTGGGGCGTTATACATTCGAAATTTTAAGCGTTCTTATTTTGAAATCCCATACAACAGAATAAAACATCTGCTCATATGTCTATGGCTTGGCAATGAAAATATCAGAGCAACAGATTGGGGATGGTTTTCCAAAGATGGTTTGTTATTACCCGTACGCATGAACAAACAACCTGCACCCGATAAATTTTTGAAAATTAT